ACATATACCATTTAACTCCGGTACGCATTCTAACTTAAATGTTAGCATTTATTTACTCAATACAATAATTTTTTGGGTGACTACGCAAATTAGTTACGACGGTGATGTTGCTATTGGCAACGTGCAATTTCGCTAAATAACCTAGAATAGGGACGATGCGGCAATGCTACACTTAAACAAAACATGTCGGAATGTACATTGTTGTGCTTTACAAAACGAGACAATAATTTAAATGATTTAGTAATAATGTACTAGGACGGCGCTACGTGGATTTCTTAAAATTACGGAGCTAAATAGGAATGGAATGAAGGCGTGTTTGAATGTATATTTTCGGGTAATATGAAGAGAAGACAATACCATTTTCTAATGATTACGGTAATGTGATTTACGTATAAAGTGTTCCGTACGGTAAACAACAGCACGGGGGACGGAACGTTTAATATCATTAGTCAAATACTTATTCATGTTGGTGAAATATCACAATACAAATGTTGGATATTGTAACCTATTCTGTGAGCGCGAATCTGAGGTAAATCTACTCGAATATTAATTGATCCGCGGACTATCGTAGCATACGGAATAACTCACCCATATATAAATTCATATTGCTCGAAATTATTGTATAAACTCTCGGAACTGATTTTGTGACTAAGCTACTAGAGTCTATGCTACTGAACGAGAATCTAACCTGCAGATCTAACACGAAAAGTGAATAAAGCTAAGCAAAGACGAGGGATAAACACACCTGTCGAGACATAGAAAATAAATATTCAATGTACATGAAAAAACATAAAACGTAAGGAGCCCACGACGCAATGCGCATAGACATCACTGGCTGGTGTCTAAGAACTAATCGGCTATCTGGAACTAACATTTACGATGGTAAGGATTTCGAAAAGTGCTGCAATATGGTAGGAATATTTCAAACTTAACTCTAACATTTTCTAGACGATAATCCAAAGAAATAACAAGTTAGACATAAACAAAAATAAAGTTTAAATGTTTCTTATCTTTAAACAAGAAAGGGGAGAGCTGTGAGTTCCTTGGGTTTATGTAAGCAAGTGTGTCTTAGATGGTAGAAACAAAGATTAACTCCCATGCTCTACTCGTTTATCATTATCGAATATCTCTAAAGTTGAAGTTTCCAGGTGCATTGTCTACCCTATGCTGACAAAGTTTACTACAGGAGTAGGTGGTAAGAAGATAGTTACCTAACAAGACTTTATTTTCTTATATGGTGTAGCCACGGTCAACTGGGGCCAGCCCTAAACAAAATATCTGTCAGCGCTTGACCATGGCATTACGACAGGAAAAAGGGAATGGTGAGATAATAATCTTGTTCAACAAAAGTTGATTTTTGATTACGTCTTACTTGGTGGTAAAACATTCAGCTGCTGGGATGGGAATACTTATCTGCACCTGACCAAGGGATGTACCCGCGATTATGATTATGATTATGTACCATTGCTGATTATGAAAAAACACATAAACAAAATTATTAAGTGTACAATTGCAAATCAAAAGTGCAATATTTTGTACTTGGGTTTACCTCCCTCGAAACGAAGCACCCGTGATACCGAACCCAGTCAGCGAGGTTGGGTGTGCACTCAAATGTAACGAAGGCCTTTCATTGGCTGGTTCATTTGCCGTTGCCCTAACGGCTCAAATGAGTGTGGGTATATAGAGATGTTGGGTTTTGTAAATACATGCTCATTTTTTGTGCAATAACAAGTCATGTGTACAAGTATCACATCTGCCTGGGGTTATAGCTAAAACTGCACCACAGCAGAACGGCACCAAATTTGTTTGGCGAAAACGGCACCATATTGGTGAAAACGGCTACTGATTTCTGGGCTAAAACGGCACCATATATAAAACACAGTATATCGTTGACTTATGTTTTATTTCATATCATTATAACATTAGCAAGATTATATCAACATATGAGTCATTCTCAAAATCCGTGCATATTTATGTCAGATGTTTGTATCCGACAAACTTAAGCCTTAAACTTATCCCAGTATCTTCTACACTTTACAGTAACACAATTAGGGAAAATTTATTGTTATATTTACTTTACACCACCCAATTTTACTCAGTGTCCATGTGTCACAACTCCAGTGGCTGATGTCACAGATGTGGTATTTAAATTTGATTTCAGTTGAGTAAATGTACTTAAAACATCAAAGGTTGCGATGTTTTCACGCTAAATTGGGATGCCCTTTCCAATCACTGTCCGCACAGTAGATGTATTTAGTATCTAAACATTCTGCAATCCGATTATCAGCTATGGGATGCCCATTTCTAATCATTGTCGGAACAGTAGATATATTTGGTTTAAACACATTTTTATTTCGTCAAAGAAACCTGGATAGGCGAACAAGCGTAGTGGCTTATATAGACGCAACTCCAGTACATTGTTCCAATAGCTGGATACATAACTGAAATAATTTGACAACAAAAGAAAAATACTGTGACAACATAACAGATATATGTTTGAATAATAAATATGTTCGATATGGTGTTTGTTATGCCCAGCAACGAAATGAGCAGCCGCAGAAAATCAAGTTATATAAAACTTGCCATACATTGAATATATACGTAGAGTTGATAATTACTGGAAGCGGTTACTTTTAGAAATGCGCCGTTACCGTCTAAAGTAGTTTTCACATCGTATCCTTGAATATAAAAATACATCCTTGTTCTTAAATATTGATAGTTCCGACATAATAGTAGATGTATTTACTATCTGCAATCCGATTATCTTATAACAAACTAGTTTTCCCCATAAGATTTTAGTTGGTGCCGTTTTCGCCATAAGATTTGTAGCCGTTTTCGTCAAGTCGAGGTTCCGTTATGTCAAGTTGGTACCGTTTTCACCAGGTGCCGTTTTCATGTGGTCGGGTGACGTTTTAGCCTGAACCCCTCTGCCTGTCTGTGTACATAATACCAGAGCTACAGATAACTTTTTTGGGTCATTGAGTTATGTACTCGCTTGTGTTCATCTCAATTGGGTATCCTAATTTTCCTTTGAGTAACCAAATACATTGTACTCATCTCACTCAAAGTCAATTGGGTATTTTGCCATTTTCCAATAATTTAAAAATATAATAAAGTTTAAATTTGAGTGTTTTTTATTTATATTTGATCTGTAATATGAGAAGCGATAAGAAAAACTGCAAGTTGTCAAGTTAATATCCTGAAATAGAACGTCTCAGTATACCTCAGTTATAGTATCTATCCACCGGTACGCATATTAAGATTTGACATTTTTGTGTGTACGCGTGTAAGATCACATTTATTGAGTATTTACAAAAAATCAAGCGTATTGTACGCAATAGACGTAATAGGAATTGAGTTTTCACATAAATATTTGCGTAATTTACGCAGATACGCAGCTTATCTGTACCTCTGTAATACATAATGTGACAGAGACCGAACTCGGGTGCACGAGCCATAAATCAATGCGTTTTGTTTATGGCGTATAGCCTGATAGGTGTTAAGTTCTAATTGCATGTGGTCAGTGATCGAAGTTGCATACTGTCATTAGCAGACAGGCAGGCATACACATAGGTGTCAATAAAACTGACATTGAGTTTTGTCTGTGACAGAGGCATATCTATATCACAGTTAGACATTCTGTCAATGCTAAATAATGACATTGATTTTAAGTATCGAACTGAGAAAGTGTCTCGGTAAGAAGAACGTGTTGTGAAATAGACAAATGAAATTATATAAACAGCTGAATCGGTAGTCTACTGTCATAACATATCAAAAGCTCGCGCCTGTGAAATATCAACAAAACATTAGTAAAATAGCTCACACCAAAGCCTTCATCGAGTATTCACCGCCAGCGAAGTTTTTCCGTCTTGAAATGTCGAACGCTTCACTGGTTGACACATGCCTGAGTAGATCTAGATCCTACCAAGGTTCTTTTATGTAACTAGTAGATTATTTACTATTTGTTTTGATTAGACTACTCCTGCTCACGGCCTTATCATTCGGACATCCCGCTTCCATGCTGCGCGAACCTATTCACTGCGCATGCGCAATGAGCGCAGTCCAGCACAGCTGTTGAAATCACTTTTCACCTGAAGCTAGGGTGAAATTAGCGAATCGTTTAAACTTCGATTTCGCGGGGTTTTGTTTCATCGCGTTATGTTTCAACTTTATAAGTTGAATTTGCATTTTTGATGATTTGTATCTTAAAGTTGCTGAGTGCGGCGAGTGCGGCGAGTGCGGCGTTAAACAACAAACAAGCAAAACAACGCCTCACAAACGCAATTCTCGCACAAAGTTTCAGACCTGATCAAAATGTGCGTCAGAGAAAAAAATCTAGGGTTAGTTTATGTATATGACTTTTACCGAAAAATTTGAGTCGAAAAAACCCCGAGAAAACTATTTTTATATAACCAACTGAAACGCTAATCCTTGAAGATTGAGTGAGTGAGTGAGCTTAGTTTTAAGCCGCTTTGATCAACATTCCAGTAATATCACAGTGGGGGACACCAGAAATGGGCTTCATTGTACCGATGTGGGAATCGAGCAGGGTCTTTGGCGTGATTTAACCACTAGGATACCCTACCGCCCCCATGAACACTGAACAATGAACAACGGGTGCCTGTGTTGTTCTATACAGGTGATACAGTAACCCTGTCATCAAGCCAGCAGTGTGCGGCAGTGTAACACTTGGCACAGAAAACAGCTGGTCACGACCACAACACCCTGACGTCATCAGCAGTGTGACGTCATTGTACATTTGGCGCCACGCCAGCTGGCGAACCTTGACTCAGTCTGAGGTCACAGAGTGCAGCGAGATGTAAACAAACAGTTTGTTGTTGTCTGCCTCACGATTAATGATAAAATTATGACACATAATTAAACAGAATTACATAACGAGATGCGGCGTTCATATACCAACGACATATCATCAATATTTACAGTCAACAATATCCTTACCTGATTCTGTAAAGTTCCATAAACAACAAAATGTCTGAAAATGTTCTCAACAAGTTTTATTTCACAACAAATATTCTCACCTTCATACTGAATTATAAACAACGCGACGACGTGAACGGCATGCACAACGTCAGTGTCAGTAACGACATGTCCTCCATCACTGTCTACATCAACACTACATTCACTTCACTGTGTACCACGTGACACCAGGAGATCCGACAGTTGATGATGTCCACAGTCTCTCGCCACGTCGGCTGCTGTCTTCCCGTTGTTGTTCCTGGCGTTGATGTCCACCCCGTCCAGAGACAGGACAAACTTCACTGTCTTCCTGTCTCCTCCCCGACAGGCCCAGTGAAGGATGTTGTTACCGTTCTTGTCAACCAGTGACACATCAGCACCTCGACTCACAAGGAAGTCCACCACATCCCTGTGTCCCCCACGTGCTGCCTCCATAACCGGTGTCGTCCCGATCACATCTCTACAGTTGACGTCAGCCTGACCTGTGGCCAGGATCCGTTTCAGCTTCGCCAGGTTCCCCTCCCTGCAGGCGTCACGGAGGTCGTAGTCTGCCCCGGCGTCTCTCCGTGCGAGTGTCGGTGTCGCTGTAACACAAAGTAAACTCTGTACACAGGTCGGACATCTTCATCTTACAGCTACATTTTTCACATCTTACACTGATGATACAAAACACTTGATACATCATCTATACATGCAGTATGGCTGACAGCAACATGGCGGGTGTACAGGGAATCACAAGAACTGACAGCAACATGGCGGGTGTACAGGGAATCACAAGAACTGACAGCAACATGACGGGTGTACAGGGAATCACAAGAACTGACAGCAACATGACGGGTGTACAGGGAATCACAAGAACTGACAGCAACATGGCGGGTGTACAGGGAATCACAAGAACTGACAGCAACATGGTGGGTGTACAGGGAATCACAAGAACTGACAGCAACATGGCGGATGGACAGGGAATCACAAGAACTGACAACAACATGGCGGATGGACAGGGAATCACAAGAACTGACAACAACATGGCGGGTGTACAGGAATCACAAGAACTGACAGCAACATGGACGGGTGTACAGGGAATCACAAGAACTGACAGCAACATGGCGGGTGTACAGGGAATCACAAGAACTGACAGCAACATGGTGGGTGTACAGGAATCACAAGAACTGACAGCAACATGGCGGATGGACAGGGAATCACAAGAACTGACAACAACATGGCGGATGGACAGGGAATCACAAGAACTGACAACAACATGGCGGGTGTACAGGGAATCACAAGAACTGACAACAACATGGCGGGTGTACAGGGAATCACAAGAACTGACAGCAACATGGTGGGTGTACAGGGAATCACAAGAACTGACAGCAACATGGCGGATGGACAGGGAATCACAAGAACTGACAACAACATGGCGGATGGACAGGGAATCACAAGAACTGACAACAACATGGCGGGTGTACAGGGAATCACAAGAACTGACAACAACATGGCGGGTGTACAGGGAATCACAAGAACTGACAGCAACATGGCTGGTGTACAGGGAATCACAAGAACTGACAGCAACATGGCGGGTGTACAGGGAATCACAAGAACTGACAGCAACATGGCGGGTGTACAGGAATCACAAGAACTGACAGCAACATGGCGGGTGTACAGGGAATCACAAGAACTTACAGCAACATGACGGGTGTACAGGGAATCACAAGAACTGACAGCAACATGGCGGGTGTACAGGGAATCACAAGAACTGACAGCAACATGGCGGGTGTACAGGGAATCACAAGAACTGACAGCAACATGGTGGGTGTACAGGGAATCACAAGAACTGACAGCAACATGGCGGATGGACAGGGAATCACAAGAACTGACAACAACATGGCGGATGGACAGGGAATCACAAGAACTGACAACAACATGGCGGGTGTACAGGGAATCACAAGAACTGACAACAACATGGTGGGTGTACAGGGAATCACAAGAACTGACAACAACATGGCGGGTGTACAGGGAATCACAAGAACTGACAGCAACATGGCTGGTGTACAGGGAATCACAAGAACTGACAGCAACATGGCGGGTGTACAGGGAATCACAAGAACTGACAGCAACATGGCGGGTGTACAGGGAATCACAAGAACTGATAACAACATGGCGGGTGTACAGGGAATCACAAGAACTGACAGCAACATGGCGGGTGTACAGGGAATAACAAGAACTGACAGCAACATGTCTGGAGTACAGGAATCACAAGAAGTGACAGCAACATGGCGGGTGTACAGGGAATCACAAGAACTGACAGCAACATGGCGGGTGTACAGGGAATCACAAGAACTGACAGCAACATGGCGGGTGTACAGGGAATCACAAGAACTGACAGCAACATGGCGGGTGTACAGGGAATCACAAGAACTGACAGCAACATGGCGGGTGTACAGGGAATCACAAGAACTGACAGCAACATGGCTGGAGTACAGGGAATCACAAGAACTGACAGCAACATGGCGGGTGTACAGGGAATCACAAGAACTGACAGCAACATGGCTGGAGTACAGGGAATCACAAGAACTGACAGCAACATGGCGGGTGTACAGGGAATCACAAGAACTGACAGCAACATGGCGGGTGTACAGGGAATCACAAGAACTGGTATTGGTCATTTACATGATTAGAATGTCATCTAACAGTTCTAACACAGTTTTGTGTGTGTGTGGAGAGTGGTCTGCCCACTACAACACACGTGACATTGTCTCCACCCACCTCGTGTGTCAGGTCTGGAGGGGGTTCCAGACTTCCGTGTGTCCCTCTCTCTGATCGTGGCTGTGGAGACAATCAGGAGGGTTAGAATGAACACCAGGTTCATTACATTACATTACATTCTCAGAGTTGTTATCTTGTTTACATTTATCACCGAAGATATCACATTACTCATATATAAGATATACATCAATAAGCTGAATGCATATAGTTAATTTCTATAAAGGGATAACTTTTACAAGCCACACAACTTTCCGGTAGATGACACCGGGATTGTTTTTAGAAAGGACAAAGCTTTCTGGCAGATCTGATAACCTGATACCATGTATACACAGTGCGACGTGCGACTATCACATCTAGGCCAGAATATCCTCCCACCTACCGGGTACATCAGACTTCGGTGTAGGTCCAGGTCTCCGTGCTTCCATCTGGCTCCAGGCTGCAACACAGAATATGTCATGTAGAACACTTCAACACAGAATATATGTCATGTAGAACACTTCAACACAGAATATGTCATGTAGAACACTTCAACACAGAATATATGCCATGTAGAACACTTCAACACAGAATATATGTCATGTAGAATACTTCAACACAGAATATGTCATGTAGAACACTTCAACACAGAATATATGTCATGTAGAACACTTCAACACAGAATATATGCCATGTAGAACACTTCAACACAGAATATATGTCATGTAGAAAAATTCAATACAGAATATGTCATGTAGAACACTTCAACACAGGTTCGGGATCTGACTTGGAAATAACTACAACAATACCGGGAGAAATAACTACAACAATACACGTTTGACGTAGAGTGGTATTATTGTGCATAGTAGTATTGTTGAGTATGGTGGTATTAGTGTGTATGGTGGTATTGTTGTGTATGGTGGTATTATTGTGTATGGTGGTATTATTGTGTATGGTGGTATTATTGTGTATGTGTGGTATTATTGTGTATGGTGGTATTGTAGTGTATGGTGGTATTATTGTGTATGGTGGTATAGTTGGGTATGGTGGTATTATTGTGTATGGTGGTATTAGATGGTCATGAGGGATGGTTCTTAATTCTTAATTATTTTGTATGGTGGTATTACTGTGTATGGTGGTATTATTGTGTATGGTGGTATTGTTGTGTATGGTGGTATTGTTGTGTATAGTGGTATTATTTTGTAAGGTGGTACAGTTGTGTATGGTGGTGGTGTTGTGTAAGGTAATATAGTTGTGTATGGTGGTATTGTTGTGTATGGTGGTATTATTGTGTAAGGTGGTACAGTTGTGTATGGTGGTATTATTGTGTAAGGTGGTATAGTTGTGTATAGTGGCATTATTGTGTATGGTGGTATTGTTGTGTATAGTGGTATTATTGTGTAAGGTGGTACAGTTGTGTATGGTGGTATTGTTGTGTAAGGTAATATAGTTGTGTATGGTGGTATTGTTGTGTATGGTGGTATTATTGTGTAAGGTGGTACAGTTGTGTATGGTGGTATTATTGTGTAAGGTGGTACAGTTGTGTATGGTGGTATTATTGTGTAAGGTGGTATAGTTGTGTATAGTGGCATTATTGTGTATGGTGGTATTGTTGTGTATAGTGGTATTATTGTGTAAGGTGGTACAGTTGTGTATGGTGGTATTGTTGTGTAAGGTAATATAGTTGTGTATGGTGGTATTGTTGTGTATGGTGGTATTATTGTGTAAGGTGGTACAGTTGTGTATGGTGGTATTATTGTGTAAGGTGGTATAGTTGTGTATAGTGGCATTATTGTGTATGGTGGTATTGTTGTGTATAGTGGTATTATTGTGTAAGGTGGTACAGTTGTGTATGGTGGTATTTTTGTGTAAGGTGGTATAGTTGTGTATGGTGGCATTATTGTGTAAGGTGGTATAGTTGGGTATGGTGGTATTATTGTGTATGGTGGTATTATTGTGTATGGTGGTATAGTTGGGTATGGTGGTATTATTGTGTATGGTGGTATTAGATGGTCATGAGGGATGGTTCTTAATTCTTTGTGCCTCAAGGCTGCAACATTTTTGTTGTTTCATAACCTGTGATTTTCATCGATTCAGATTGTTAAGTTAAAAACATATTGTAAGGGTATTTGTTAAGAAAGACCTATAAAAAGAAAATATGTACGTTCCGGAGTCATTTCTTTCTAACAAATTCACCTGAAATGACATCCAAACATCCAATCAGCTGTCAATTATGTTTATTATGTGTATGACATATCGTTCCAATCTCCTGTCAATCTCCCCTGACAACGACGCTTACATCTGGGAGTGAGTGGGTTCGATTCTTGTAGAATGGTGTTGGTGAACTCGGAGGTTTAGTACTTATGTACTTGTCAGAATATTGTCGTATTGTTTTACATACAGCGGGTAAATGAACATGGTTCACGTGCATTTTCCAGGACGTTCATTGACTGTTTGTTAGGAACAGTGTTATTATTTACAAATAGAGCGACGAAGATCCAACTGACTCGACTATGGTTTCATGTGACTAAACCTGAATATCAAAAATATTCATACACACAAAAACAGGGACAACCATATAGGAAAATTACTCGGGACTTGGATTTATTCTATGACATACCTCGAGACCACATTTCAAACAAGTGGTTGTTGAAAAACATTCACCAAAACCATTTTAATACTAAACAGAAGATTACTCTAAAATTATCCTAATTTTTAGCCTTTTCAATTTGGCCGATAATAGTTGAACGCCAAGTTGAAATTTGCCTTTATCATAAATATCATAATAGTATATGTTCACAAACACAAACAAAACCCTGGACATCAATATTGAGTAGTAACCTCATCTATGACATACACACAGACCCGTGCCAGTTATATTACGACTCGTGACGTAATTTCCATAGACTTACATGTTATTTCAGTGTAGCATAAATAATTTTCATGAAGTGAGTTTAGGATAGATCTTTGTCAAATGTGACAGGCAAATTTGAAATTATCTCTGCTCTGCGCACATAATTTATCAACTTACGTATGGTTCCACAATGCACAATCCCATAGGCCGCCATGTTGAAGGAGTTAACGGCATTAATATGTTGATTAAATTGTTGTCATTCGATAAATAAGCAACGGAAAATTAAACCGAAATTATGTGATTGTAAGTAAGACGATTCCTCACAAATGTGCAAAAGCTAACTTGGATCTTATGAAAATTATATTCATGAAAATTAATTATGCTACACTAAATTAAATTGTAAGTGTAAAGGAATTACATCAAGTCGCTGAATATAACTGCCACGGATCTGTACCTCGAGACCACATTGCAAACATGTGGTTGTTTTCGTTGTCGTAATTTATGGACTTGTCAGTTGATACATATCTGGCCGATAAACAACACCAAGATGAAATTTGCTGTTATCGTAAATATTACAAGATTCAGTGTTTTCTACATTGAGCTGTGATTGTGTGAACTTCCATATGTCTACATTTGCATGAATCAAGGTTTTAAAATTGTAAATATCATTGGCTTGCCAACCTGACCAGCTAATACGTCTATTTACAAGTTGTATGTCGTGTCTTGTAAATCAGATATTGCTACTTTCAACAAAGTGACGACATTCACTCACGGCTGCTACAACAGTTACCAGTCAGTGTACAAAACATGCACACGGTAATTATTTTTGCCCTGTTTGTATAATGTAAATGCAGCATTCTAAGCATATTTTATTTCTGAAGTTTATGAACAGAGCGACTTGTAGGAAGGTAATGGTGGCGGCTGTACACTGGTGTCAGTAGTTTCTCAGATCATGAAATCTTTTGTATGGTCTTCACAGTAGCATTATTATAGAACCAAGTCAGATGACAATGTCACATCATAGGTGTACATTGATCATCATAGATCTGCATGTCCATGTGATTCCTGTCAGGAAGATCTTGTAACTTATGTACATTAAGTTATGGAGGGTATCTAGGATACGGAGAACGGAAGTAAATCTAGAGGCTGTCGTTATTGTTCACCCAGGCACACGACGATAGCATACTTGTACACATACAAGTACATACATAACATCTACATACAAATATAGGAACGGCATACATTTGCCACGAACTTATCTCCTCGAAACAAACTTTCTACAGTATTTTGTACTGTACACATTAACCCACCATGCACAAAGACTGAAAGAGGATTGCATCTATTCACATTTTAACAAAGCAAGTACCTGCTGCCTAATCCCTACAGTAGTCATTGTCCATCGTGCTCTGTTCACAACCTTATCTACTGGTTCTAACAGTACAAAATATAGAGATAAACAAACTTACCCCGCTACCGTCCTCACACAACACACACATCTCACTGTCAACCTGGAAATGTCCTGACTAGCGACACTGGTCGCGCTAAGCTGCGAGTTATGACGTCATTGTGACGTGTCATGTGAGGAGCAACACCGAGTTTGGCGCTGGATTGCTTGTGGTATGTTCAACCGGGCAACCCGTCACACTAATAAAGAGACACCCCACCCCTCCCCCATCCAGCCACACCTCCCTATTTCATGCACGGTTGGGTGAAACCTACCCGACTTACAACAATAGTCACTTTTGATTTTCGATTGTACGCTTATAATTTTGTTTATATGTTTTTTCATAACCAGCAATGTATATTATGTGTCATGAATAAGTGATAATTGTGTTTTAATTATGTTTGATTTTTTGGTTGCATGTGACCTTTAACTAAGCTTCTTCATCATGTACAACACGGTGCTGGAGATATAAATAAGTAGCGAGATCAAAGGAACCGCTGGCCACTATGTTCCACATTCACACGACAACAGATGCACTGTAGATAATCAGTGTATGAACTAAGGCCCGTCCGACCGCCCGAGACGTTCCAGATTTCTGCCGGACGGTCTAATTTTACAGCTAGCCAGCCCGATGGACGGGTGAAAAAATATATATTGGTAACGTGTCCACAGGCACTGTCTATTTAGTATAAAAGTACTGGTTAAATCTCTTCTGGGCTGGTAAGTTTTTGAAGTTTCCAGCCCAGATGTCTGGCTAGGGTTTGGCTTATTTCATACACTGCGAATATGCACTGAATTATAGTAATACGGCTTCACGTGGTGTCTATTTATCTACTGAGGTCTCAGTATTATTCGAGATGCCTAGATACATCCATATAACAATCATCACCAAAAGCTACACTGATTACTATTTGTAATTTTACACAGAATCATATAACTTTGACGTCAGAACATTTCCATCCCTGTAAAATACGAGTTTTGGAAAGAAACCTTGTTTCTATTAATTTGATTCCCTTGTATACACATACATCCGTGCATAAAATAACCACCACCCTGTACTTTTACCAATTGATTTTGCCTGAAATGAAATTGTAAAATCTTTAAAAAAATAACCTTTATAATTTGATAGAGCAGGGATTTAACATTTCAAAAACGAAAACAT